ACGTGACGCCATTTTGAGAGCCCTACTTTGATCGTCTAAAACGGGCTTACCGGGAAAAAAACCCAGAAGTTTCATTCTCGCGATTCGAACTTCGGCATAATTCCGTGAAACGTCCAGTGGAGACAAGGCGCCATGCAGTCATCCTTCGCGTTCAGATAAATGATGCTTCATGGGTCGCTTTGACGTGCAAACACAGATTATGGATTAAAAACCACCAGCTGTTATCGATAACTTTCTACAAAAGTCCTCGAGCGGGTTCAGAGTGTCCGCATGCAATACATTTCACGAGGAAAACAACCTCGCACATGAAAGTGATGGAGGCTTACCTACTTATATCGTGAACACAATTAATTGGATTGTATTTTGCAAAAAGGAACCACAAGCATTCCAGTGTCGCTAGGATTTTGCAACTTATTTTACTGTGCAAATAGGAACTGATCATCTAAAAAACTTTTTTCTTCACTCTCTATAAATTATGAATTCGAGACAAACATCAGTTGGTAAATTTAATTTTTGTCATGATTTCTGTAATTTTTTGCAAAGAATTTAAGTTGTTCAATCCTAGCAACATTTGAATGCTGTTGGTTCCTTTTTGCAAAATGCAATCCAATTCATCTTGCCTTTTAGTCAATTTTGACACTTTCACAAATTGTGGACCCAAGAGCCGTAATGCTTTCTCAAAATGTAGTGTATTTATTTTTGTTTGCAAATTTTGGTTTCGGGTTTGCACTTCAGGTTTTGCGCTGGAAAATGACCTCATCCTCAAACAATTTTTCTTATTCTTAGAGAATATTTTATCTTTGAAAAAATGCAGTAAAATTGGAAAAAGATGACATTACCCGGCCTAACTCAATTTTAATCTCGCTCCTTACATTATGCTTATTGATAGCTGAAGTCGACGAATACCCATTCCGATTGCACGAGTACCCATCTCTACTCCTGTTTATACTTTTTTTTAACGGAAAGAGGCAACCCTCTTTCTTGAAAATGTCTGTGATTTCAGTCCGTTCGCTCAAAAATATTTGCTGCAGAGAATTTCAAGGAGATACATTTATTTTCTATAAAACAATTGAAACTTAATCAGAGATTTTAAAACGTGCCAATGGAAATGCTTTCTTTTCGACTTTAGCCATCAAAAGCCCTTCTCATTATTATATAAATCTTTAGCGATCCTTAAAAATGACATGACTTAGTTGTACATGACGACTAACGAGAGGCCCTTGAGATTTTGGATTAAATGTATGTATAACGCTGAGTAAAATGAAACCATTGACTACATATCGACGGTGAAACTACCAAACCACGTATCTCGTTTGCGGTGTTTAAAAATCTACGCTCGCATTTTATTTTTTTGAAGTCGACCAAATCAATATCATTCCTTGAAATTTTCACAGAATTTTCTCCGCACAAAGAGGAAAAATCACAGAAGTTTTCAAGACTAGACGTTAAGTAGTTTTTCATTTAAAAAATAAAGTATGACAGGAAGTCTGCGACGTCGCAAACCGAGATACGTGGTTTGGTAGTTTCACCGTCGATATGTCTTATACATTTTCATATTGCCTCGACTAGCCCTATGTTCCATCTCATGACGTAGATGGTTGGCATTCGAAACAATCAGCATGAACACGAATTTTACAGGCGTTATCCATTGTGAAAGCCCAAGTCGGAATGCCAGCGGCCATTTATCACTTAATGTAGACTAAATACTTTGCGTGCTCAAAACACACCTACCAACAGACACCCATCTGCTCATCAAATCAAAAGAAAGTCGAATTCCTCAAAAATAACGATTTTTAACTTGGATACGGCAACGTTGCGCTAAAGTGTGACTCAAGTTAACGTCACTCGGCTCACAGAGGAGAATCAATGACGTCAGACTGAGCGGAAATATTCGAAAAGCGATGCATGTTCGTCGGGAATTCCGACAATTACCCGCACAAAGCAGCTACCACGCGCGGCACCTTGCATTATTTGTATGTGGGCCACGTCAGGCAGACTGTTTTTGTTTTAATGTTTTTAAATAAGCACTACTATTATGTAAATGTGCGGGCATCTGCAACGAATCGCCGCCTAGTAAGACAATCATTTTCTCAGGAACGGTCTGGTTACAGACTCGCTCCGATCCAGCATACAAATTCATTAACTGGGCGTGCTTAAATCAAAAGGAACTATGTCCATTCTGACTTGAGCCCCGGGATCCATAATGACACTTGCCGGACAGGGATCATGTCACAGTGGATGTAGTTCCTTTCGATTCGAATGCGTCAAACTATAGGACTAGGTGTGCAACGGAAAGGGAAAAGGGAGCATAGTGAAAGTTGAGTGAGGTTACCCTCGTGTGCGAGAATTATTCATTTTTCGCCAAAATCTGGACACTTCGATACATTTTAGATTTTAGCCATTATGAATGGTGATTTTTTTGAAATAGGTATAAAAGCAGATTTCAAAGTTTTCGGAAACAATTTTTGGAATGAATGTGGGACACAATTTTGTAGTGTTGCCATGTCTGAGAGGACCATCAGCAGAATGGGCTGAGACTTATCTGATTTTGAATTGCATTATTATGTTATATCCCCAGTAAAAATTGGCAGTAGGATCTGTGTTCCAAAATACTATAGACCTACAGCCAGCTGTAAGATTTTCAATAGCTTCTATAGCCGGCTGCACAATTTCTTATAGCCTTCTATAGCCGATGGCGATTAAGCAACAGCCAGGCGATAAAAAGTATGCTAAATGTTACTAATTACGGATACTAGGACTTAGTGAGTTTTTGGATTACCGCTCTATTTTTGGGCCGCAGTATCTTGATTTATTTTGCGCGGAAAGCTCCGTACTTTAGAATGATGCATGCCATTCCTAATATGTTGGAGCGCCTTTAATTTCGTATGATACTGTGCAATACCTCTGGTGTGAAATACTTGCTTCAAGCGCCGTGGCACGCTGCAGCGCGGCGGGCGGACAGCCAGCGCATTGGCGCCTACAAACCTAACAGGGATACTTCACGCATTGCGCAATGCGTGAAGTATCCCTGTTGGGTTTGTAGGCGCTAGTGCGCGCTTATCGCTGGCAGCACGCCGCTCCGCTCTGGGTTAGGCTCCAATATATCTAATCTCGCGGAGTCAGCGTTTTTCAACTCATAATTTTGAAATGTTTGCACACTCTGTATGGACTATTCTCATTTTAATTGATGAAAAATATGTATTAAAGGAAAATATAATGTGTGTTTTGTAAATATTATGGTGGTTCCGTATCAAACTTAATGATTTCCAAAGCACACGAATTTCTACACGATTTCTTATAGCCTTTTATAGCCGATGACGATAAAGTGTAAAGCCCAGCGATAGGAACTGTAGCCCGGCTGTATACTTTTTTATCGCTTCGTATAGCCCGGCTATATGATTTGCTCCGCTTTCTACAGCCAGCTATGTGATTTTCTATTGCCTTCTTTAGCCGGCTGTAAGAATTCCTATGGTATTTTGAAACGCAGCTCCTATCGCCAATTTTTACCAGTGTTCTTTAGCCGGCTATACAATTTCTTATAGCCTAATATAGACCGATAAAACATAGCCGGGCGATAAACTGCATGCACAGCCCGGTGATAGGAAATATAGCCCGGCCATATGATTTGCTTCGTTTTCTACAGCCAGCTATATGATTTTCTATCGCCCTCTATAACCGGTTATTAGAATCCCTGTGGTATTTTGAAACGAAGCTCCTATTGCCAATTTTTACCAGGGATTATATCTCAATTTCTAACTCGGTACTGAATCAAAATTGTTTCTGCCAAAGCTGAAAAAAGGAAATCAATTAATACCTTCAAGAGGGAGTAATGAAAATTGATTAAAACTGGTCTGCCAGAGTCAAAAATTTCATTTTGGCTATAAAACTAGTATCTAACGCCCTAATATTTTTAAAACCAGCATTTAAAGTTTTACCTCGTCAAGAGGTGATAAAACTGGGACTCTGGGAGGTCAGGTAATGGCCTAGCCTAAACCACTTATCCCCAAAAGTTTATTTTCGGGTATTTCTTCGAATGATAGAGGAGGGTGGAAGGTGGACCCGCGACCTTGGAGAGCAAAATTTTCGGTAGCCCATATGTTATGCAAGATGAGGCGCCTTAAAACTGCTCTCTTGATTTTAACGAGCACGTCTCAGGAAACAATAGACCATTATTTTAATATTTGAGATTGTTCGCATGAGGGTGAATGAAGACATAACACGGCGAGCTCTGTGGATTGGAACGTGACGGTATTTTATACGCGAATCGAACCATCCTATGTTGCCGCTTAGTGCTGCTGGACCTGGTTGAATAATAAACTGATTTAGTGACGACGACATTCTCGCGACGTCCGATTAATTCATGTATGGATGTTCATTGGTTCCAAAGTAAACAATAAAACGTGACATCCAGTCGTAAATTCAATGTTAAGTATCTATTGTGTCAGTTCATTAAGATTTTGCTATTGATAAATAATAAATCGATTAATATTCGGATCTCCGGGAATGCGAACAATTTCTACTGGGACTCCCACAGGCGTACTTAGGTCATTTTGCTAGGAGATACCTCGCCCCCCCC